ATACATTTCATAAAGAAAAGCAGAACCATTTTGATCTTATTGATTCTGATGGAGACATTGATGACCCACTTTAAGCCAGTTCTTTTGTTGGATCTTAAAGGTTTAAACATTGGGCATCTTATTGCAGAGAGGAGGATCTTGTTCCAGATGTTACAACTAAAAATGAAAGAACTGAAAACCCAAACATGAAACGTCTAAAGCAGGGGTCGGCAACTCCAGGCCTCGAGAGCCTGTCTCCTGCAACTTTTAGATGTGTTTTCTACTTCAACACACCTGAGTCAAATAATGGGGCAATTAGCAGAACTCTGGAGAACTTGACTGCATTTAGGAGGCGATTCAGCTATTTGAATCAGCTGTGTTGGACCAGGGAGACATCTAAAAGTTGCAGGAGACCGGCTGGCGAGGCCTGGAGTTGCCTACCCCTGATCTAATGAAAACCTCACAGTCTCCTCTAGCCATAGTGTTTCTGTCAGAAACACAATTAAATTTTGCAAATTTAATTGTGAAATTCATATTCCTGCAAATGATTTTAATGCTCTTTTAAATTGTCAACATGTGGTTTGATTAGTTAGTGATCAGTTTTTATAGCAATGCTCTATATATGAGGACACAAATCCTGAATGCTGTTGAATCCTTATGCCTGACAGAGCAACATCAGGTTCTTTATCTAAGGTGGGCAAAGACTCCAGATAAATAAAGATTTTTGCTATAAATTCAAAGATTTAATGTATCAATTCTCAACCAATCATAAAGAAAAATGCCACACTTGTCATGATGCAGAGATTCTGTCACTGTCCCATTGCTGGGGCTTCAAACCAGGATCTGACCTGCAGTCCTTATTCTGCATGCTACACTCTGTCTAATGGGCGTCACCCTTTAAGCTCTGATCTCCAGCAGTTGTGTTAACAAACAGCAGCTCTCAGTGATGTGTGTGCAGGATAAGAAACAACTTCCTCTATGACTATTAATCTACATTTTAGTTCAAAGTTTAAACCTACAGCAGTTAAACATAAGGAAACACATTAAACAAAAACAGTGATACAAGATCTATAATCTATAATCAATATTTATGATTTGAAATTGAATTTTTTTTCTGCACAAAATAAGTGGTATAAGTGTTTCTTCCTGTGCATAAAAAATATGCTTCATAATACATCGCAGGTTCAACTGTCTAATCAGACGCTTATGAAGAAATTCAACATGTTACAAGGGTATTAAATACAAATTGTTTGCAAGAGTGAAGACTGAAGAAAACTAAACAACCTACTAACATGAAATCTTTAACTTATCTGCACTATTCAAAGAGAAAATGTGATATACTTACAAAGTAAGCACAGCAAAGTGTTGGTCATGTTTAAATCCAGTGATAAAATTGTATTTCTTGGTTTGTGACGATTGACAAGTGTTGTCTTTACAGAGTGTCTGCGCTTACTGGTCGCTTCTTCAGAGGAAACTGAACATTTCTCTATTAGAATAGTTTAAAAAAAAAACGTCCTGTCTTGGAACTTCCTGTCAAGCCATAAGTTGTTGCTTCAATCTAATCCACACATATATATTGAAAGCGGAAGCCACAACTTCTGACTACAACTACTAATTACAACTTAAGTTGGTGAGAAATTTTTATAGAGAATTTGTTTATTAATTTAGAAAAATACAATTTAAAAAGTGTTACATGACGAATGAAGCTTTATTGTGATGATATTAGGTCACGGGTGCAGTATTATGTAAAATACATGTTTGAGCTCTACCTTATTTTATTCTGTCATCAAAAACATTCCTAGTGACTGAGTTATGCTCATCATGCTGAAGTATTGCTTCCTGGGCTACTTCTTTGTTGTCCAGGAAGTAGATTGTTCCTGGACTGAAGAATCTTGTTGATTGAAGAATCAACAAGAAAGAGCAACAATAATTGTCAATCAGGTTCAGTCCTAGGATTCCAACTCCAGGAAGTTGTTTAGCATTAAATTATTAAATTAAGATTTAAGATTTGTATACATAAAGAAGGATTAAGTTGTAAAAAAAAAATTAAGAAACAAAGCAAAACTAATTCTGAAGTATCTGAATAGATGTAAGAACTTTGATAAGCAAATGCAGGATGTTTCACAGAGGAGCCATTGCTTTTCTTCACGCTGTGATTCAGCGTGAACAAAATCTTGCTTACAGCACAGTCAAAGTTTTGTCCCCTTCCCCTGGATTTTCTACTGAAATTGTGAACAATAACTTTGATTTTCTGTTCTGTTTTAGAATTGGAGTCTGCCTTGAGCTTTAGCAATGGCAGTAGAGGGAAGTGAATGAAGCCACTCAGTCCATGTTAGCCTCGTTTCCAAATATTGAATTAACATTCCCAGATGCGTCCTTTAGATTGCCGCTTCTCTCTCGTTATCCCCACAAAGGGTCAACCTTTGAAATACGAGGCCAACTGTGTGAAATGATGTCAACTTCTGGTAAAGCCGGGGTCATGCTGGAAAATGATGTCATTTAAGTGAAGATCAAAATCATCATGTTTGTTTGTGTCACTTTACAACACGTAGTCAAGTATTTCTCAGCTAAAATCCTTCTGCTTCTAGTCGTAAAAATGAGTTTCAGTTGTTTGTGTCCATTCCCTAAGAAAGAATACAACCTGATTCATATCTGAAAACTCTCTCGAGCTCTGCTTCGTTTATGTTCCTTCCGCTTGCAGCTTCCTGTGTTATCAAACATCTGACAGCGATCATCTCCCTACACTAAGTTATTCTGCCTCTTAACTGCAAAAGTAAAAGTTTCATAAAAAATAGCTTCATCACGTAAGCTCAGGATTGTTGTTTTTTGTCATAAATGTGTTGGCATCATTTCAGTGATTCTATATGAGCTCAGAGAGGACTTCACCAATACAATGTTTGGACATTGTGAGTATTTGAAAATGTGCAGAAAAAAGCTAAATATGAATGGGTAAATTAGCAAATAATTCCCTTGACTGATTAAATGCTGGTGAAACGGTGTTTAACCCTAGCCTATAACTAAACTAGTTAATGTAACTTTGATAATCATACAGTCAACCTACGTCTCTCTCTGAAAAGCTGAGTTGCAAATTGATGACCCTCTTTCTCTCTTCTTTGTTTTTTGAAAACCTAATTTTATTATTTTTTTATAGGCAGCATAATTATTATCGTAGTTATTTTTTTTCTTCTATTGAGTTCTGCTAAACACACCGTTGACCTCACTACGCTAAAGCAGGAACAGGCTATTTCATGCACACATTGGGGTTGGTTAAATATGGATGTTTGCTTTGTGGTCTGGCAGAGGAAACATAAAAACAAAAATAAAAATAAAAACTGCCAGAAAGCCTATTTATTTATTTGCAGGGTCTTTGGACAGCTTGGTTCTGGTTTCAAAGGCAAAATTGCTACCCATAAAAAAATGTGCTTAAACACAGTGCAGTCTGGTTTTTACATGCAGATGAATATATAAAGATACATTTCCAAGCACAAGTTTGTCTGATAACATTCCATTCTGTTTCAAAGAAAAACAACTCTCGATTTTAAATATTCAAACTATACATGCATGATACATTGATATAAAGGTTATGTGCAGTGAAATTATTTTGACTGAGAAAAGTTTTCACGAGAAAGAATAAGCCATTGACAAAAACATATCCGATGTAAGTTTCAGCTGCCTGTCTACCCTAGGTTTTTTTTTTTTTAACCTTTGTAGATGTTTTAGTTCATACATCATGCTGAAACATGTATTTATGTCTGTGATTAATAAATATAGAGTTGAGTTTTTCTCTGTTTCTCTGTCTATCTTGGTCTCTCTGCTCTCTCAGCATGGTTTCTCTGTCCAGTGGAGGAGAGCTGCAGCTTTTCAGTGTTTCAATATTCTTCATCCAACAGAGACAAACTGCTGGAGGAAAATAATTCATCTCTTATCCAGACTCCCTGGTTTCTGACACATTAAAGACTAGATTTAGCAACCTACCTGGTTTGATTACAGATGCTTGATTTGATTATAGTTTAATAAAACACACTTGATGAGATTATATTAAGAGTTCTAATTACAGTAGTATATTTTATGTTCTCAGGTCAGTGTTGTTTCATGGACTGGTTAATACTTCGAGACCTTTCTTCTATTATGACGGTGAGAAAATGGAATTAGTTCAGCACACTGTACTTTTTGGATGCTGTCTAGAACTACCAAAGCCCAGGACCCAAGGCGGAGTGCAGAAAGGCGACTCCCGCAGGTAAAATTAATAAAACAGCAATATAAACTGCACAGAAATAAATGTATTTATTTAACAGAACCAAAATCCCTAGAAGATATAAAAAAAACATAATAATAATAATAATAGCAGTTCAAAGTTTCCTTAGAGTCTTTTGAGGGTATTTATTAATTTCTTCATTTATTGATATTGAGGCGCTATAATTACCATCCAAACAGTTGTAACAAGTCATCATTAAGACATCACTAAACCATGCCATTACATTGCAATTATGATAACGATATCTATTATAGTTTCATTGCCGTTTTGCAAACAGGTGTGGCTTGCATGCTTCACCTGACCAACAGGCGGCGCAAACGAGCAAACTCGACCTGAACATTTCCGGCTCTGGACGTCACAACTCCACTGCTGTCTTGATTCATGTAAATGTAAGTCTTCTTCCGTCTGAACCGCGGTTCAGAAAGAGGCTCAATGCTTCCTCGTTTGATGTAGTTGAACGACAAGGGTTTCCGGTGGAGAGTCATACAGTTGGGGAGGGGTGGAAAGTTTCACTGCTTTGCTTTTAAGGAGAGAGAGAGAGAGAGGTAAGAAACAAAAATAAATCCCCTAAAGTTTCTTATCCTGTCGTGGAATCATTACTGGCTGTCACGGTTTTTTTTGTTCGTTTGTTGTTGTTTTTTACTTGACTTGCCTCTTTTATTATTTTTGTTTTTTTATTTTTATTTTTGCTAACTGTCTGTTGTTATGTTTGTGGTCATCAATGTCTTAAAGTCAGGCGCTCTGCCAGGTTTCACTTGCGCTTTCTCGCTGAGCTCACATGCGGAGGAAGTTTACTGCCGTCACATAACCCGCATTCCAGAGACCCGAACCTGTCAGAACACGAAAAGAAGCCGAGAAAAGCCGAGTGTCGGTGTGTAAATGTGTCCTTCAAGAACAGTGTGTAAAGTGCAAACCAAAGTATCTGATGTCTCTTCAAATCTTTAAGGTGGGAAATGTGATTGATGAAACATTAAATGTGATTAATGAATAAATAAATTGTATTTATCCCATCTACAATAACAAAATAATAGATGACAACATAAAAATGAAATACACACGATGTAAAATAGTCATACAATTCTCGCTTTATGTTTTGTTTTTTGCTTTTTTTTTCCATATAGAATGAGATTTCATAATAGATAAGTGAACTATGTTTGGATTTTCAGAAATGTTGGAAAACATGCAACTGCTTTTCCAGAGAACTTCATAAAGAGATGGACAGGGGAAACTTTGTATTTGTATTTCCGGTGATTGAAAAATTGGCAAGGAAAAAAACAGCTCAACTGTACACACTAATAGCAATCTCCTCAGACAAGTTTCCATAGCGGGATAGCCGTTGTTGCACTAGATAATATCAAGGTGTTGGCCTTTTTGAGAAAGTTCATAGTAATCGCATCAGGACGTCTGGTTTGCTTTTTTGATAATGCGTTATGAAAGCAGAAGCAGGCAAGAAAACCAACCCCCCCAAAAAATCCCAGAATCTGTCACGTTTTTCGAAAAGCAGGATGTGGTGGTGCTTCTGCCAGCAGAAAATGCACAGCGTCTATGTGTTTTAAGGAAAAAAATATTACAGGAGCTCGTTGAAGCATAGAGCGTTCTCTTTTGGCAAGCAACTTTGTGTGTCAAATAATTTTTTCTTGTTCCACTGCCAAATATCTCAGAAACATATCTCTACTTTCCTAAAATATAATAATTTAAAATGCATTTCTACCAACACAAATCAAGCAGTTTTAAATGCTCCAAGGCTGAATCTAAGAGTCACTACTAGAAAACATGTTGGCCTTGAAAAATATCATAAAATAAAAAAACTCAGTAATGAAAAATACTGGGGTGTGCGTGGCTCTTTGAGACTTTTCTTTAGGATGATTTTGCACAGAATGGATAATGATTGTGGAAGATGTTCTGTGAATCATTACCTATTTATACATTGGTGTATGGATTCAGTGGGCCGGGTTGATGGTGGTGATGATGATGGAGTTTGAGTCATTCCGACCACTCGCCGCACCTTTACACTACGTCACATTCCCCCAGCTTGCCTTGGTACACAGTAAACTTGGAATTTAGTACCTGGACCTGAGGCACATTGATGTAGCTGGAAAGATGGAGTCAAACTGACAACTTTTTGACTGCAGATTACTCTTGGCTTCACAGCTACTCGGCTCGGAGCTCGGAGACTATTGTACTTGTCGTAGGAGTCGGGGTAGATGACGTGAGCAAAGTTATACTGATGGGCTGAGAGGAGCAAGTAAGCATGTGACGGGCATCCTCAGGCAATAACTACCAAGTGTTTGGCGTTTCAGATGTATTTTCCGGGTCACCAACCCACTCCTGGAACTGGTTACCAAGTGGAGGTGGTTCAAGGAGCCATTGAGGATCAGCAGGTAAGTAACTGTGCATCCCATGTCAGAATTGCATCAATAAACCCCTGGATACTTTATTGAGGATGGTTAAGAAGTTGAAGTGGATTGTGTTAAACTCTAGATTAAACACACACATATTTACTGGTGTTTAGCGTGTTGAAATGTATTTTTTCCTCCTCTAGGATGATGCCATCGTATGTCCTATGATTGGCCATGATCTCTCTCTATTCGCATTGGAAAGACTTTGAGCAATATAATCGGAGAACAGCTGGAAGAAAAGTTTAACAAGGAAACAGGAAAGGCAACTCTGCCAAGTGAAACAGTTGTAGTTGAGGGCCTACCTGGCCTTAAATGTAAAGCAGTCGTCTTCCTCAACCTACTCTGCTGGGATAATAACGAACATGGAACTGCAGTCCAGGTGACGAACTTGTGTGAAAATTCTGCTCCAAATTTTGCCATTCCCGTGTCTTTTTCAAAACCACAACACGCATTGCTTTTGCTTTCCAGGCGCTACGACAGGGAATCAAACGGATTCTGGCTACCTGTGAAATCAGATGCTACCGTTCAGTAGCTCTGCCGGTTCTTGGGACTGGCGCTCTCTTACGCTTTCCACACAAAACTGCTTCCACAATCCTTCTGGAGGAGATTGGTGTATATGGACAAAACCGGACCAAGAAGTCACCCTTCCTAGTTCGAATCATTATTTACCCAAAGGACAAAGAATCGAGCCAGGTTCGAGAAATTTACCACTTTAGTTTTAAAATTGAAAGTTTGACACATTTTTAAAACACTTTTTATTTCTTTTACAGGCTTTTAAGTGCTCCCAGGGTGTGTTGCTTGAAAACGGATACATAAGCCATGTTGATTTAGCTGAAGGTTATATAACTTTTTTCATAATTCTGTGAATTGTATCTAAATGATTGTCACATATTATTATTATCTCCTCTGCATTTGATCAGCGTTCTGACTCACTGGCCTCTGGCCAGATGTTTAATATTTGAACTTCTTTTTCACTTCAAGCAGCTTCCTAATGCTAAGCTAAGCTACCTAATGTATGCAGTGCAACTGTTTTGGTTGAGGTTTTATTTTTGCGACTTCCGCAAAAATATACTTTGTGGGATACATACTGAAGTGGCAACCTTTCAGAAGTTACGGCGATAAATCATTACCCTTCAACTTGTTACCTCATGTTTCCACTGGTAACTTTTGGCCTTCTGCCTTTTTTTTGGTCCTTTAGTGTTGAACCCCTGGCTTGCAATCCAATTCGACAACAAGAAATATTAAATGAGGACTTTACTTTAAAATATATAGTTTACAAGAAAGTATTCAGTGTATCAGTTTAAATTTTACAGATGACCAAAATCATTAAAGGTAGCAAAATCTATAAAGATTGTCATGAAAGCAGGACTTTTTACCCTTTTATGAAACCTCATAAAAAATGAGCAATAACCACTTCGCCATAGTCATATTATATACAAACCTATTCAGTAACTTATAATATGATTGGCTTGTTGCTTGATTCTTTGTTTACAGTGAATGAAAACACAGCATTTAAGATTCGATTATTACATCAATGTCAATGTCAAATTTATTATATATCACTTTAAAACAAGTATAAAACTGCACCAAAGTGCTGCACAGGAACAACAGTAGCACAAATAGACCAATAAAAGACATTTAAGGGTCATGAAAACTATCTTAATTGTACTTCCACACATTGTATGTTGGTACAATGGCAATAAAAGGTAATCACATCTATAATAACCGCCTAAAACTTTTGATGGGACTGAACATTTTAGATTTGTGTCCACTTACACTTCAGAACTCGACCTTTGAACATATTGTTGGAATTTACAGACGTTATATTCTTAGAACAGGAAAGCACACTGAAGCAGTTTGATTTATAGAATATGAGACGAAAATGAAAAACATAAGGAAGAAAAAACATGTTTTGTTTTTGTTGCCACCTCTTCAGGTTCCTTTTACCAGTGTGTGTCTGTCACTGATGACGAGGTCACAGCCATGATCGGCAAAGTCAAACTTCAGATCGTCGCGGTGACATCGTAAACGCAGGAACTGATGTTATTGTCACAACTTTACTAATCTATGGTTTGGTAATATTTGAGTGTTTCCTCTTTAATAAACATAGAAAAGAACAAATGGGTTTTACTGATTTTCTGATATAGCATTTCAGTTGGCTTTCATTTTTACTGATATGTGTATATTATACATTTCAAAGGTGTCTCCAAAGCCATTCTGCAAGCAGCAGGCCATGCTGTCCACGCTGAGTTGGTCCAAGGTAAACCTCATTGACAAATAATAATAATAATAATGTTTTTATGTTCATTAGCCATCCATCATTGAATCACTTTAGACCAAATCAAAAGTGAGTAAAAGTAGTCTTTGGGTCAACTTTCATATTAATTTCTAATACTCCGGATGCCCTCAAATGAAAGCTATTATCTAACTGCAATTGGAATGTGCTTTTGTTTGCTTTTAGTGGGCACTCCAGAAGACCTCATTTGCTCAACATCAGCTGGACAGCTTAAATGCAAACAAATTATCCATGCCAGTTCAAGGGAAGCACCCAGAGGATCCGCAGCACTTGCAAAAAAAATCCTGCAGCTCTGTGAGAGCAATAATTATGGCTCAGTGGCCTTCCCAGCCATTAATACAGGTCTGTACAAACTTTTAGGTGTGTTTTTAAATACCTACTTGCTTACAACAGGTAATCTGTTCGGTGATAAGAAGGAAAACATAAAAATTTTAGTGTTACAATTCATAATAAGTTTGGAATTGGTGCTTAGAAAATGTAGGCATGCTAACCATGTAAACAGAAACACAGCTGATAATAACATGTCAACTTAAAGCAATTGTTCACCCTTACAGGACAGGCCGGTATGCTCTATAGTGAATCTTGTAAAGCAATGCTGGACGGCATGGCTGCGGCTATCAAGGAGATGAATCCAGATATTGTATCTCTGATCCGTATCGTCATCCTGGAAAAACTGGTCTTTCAGGCTTTCAGGTCAGATGGTGAACTCAGAGCAGCCAAACTTTGTTTTTTTTTTCTTTTTCTTTAGGTCGTGATCCACTGTTTTAATATTGTAATGTTGTAATGTTCCAACAGATCAGAGCTGGATAATCGCTGTCAGCAGGATGACGTTCAGAACTGGTTCAGCTTTCTAGGTTTTATTTACGTTTCCTTTAGTGAACCATTTTGACAACCCACTCACATAAATAATACAGCAAACTTAGTCAGAATGAGTTAGTTTTTTTTTGTATTGCATCATTTGTATCAAAAGGTAGTTCTTCTTCATCTGCCTTTTAGATAAGGGGAAGTTACTATTTGTGGGCACAGTTACCACATTAAGAACATGAATTATGGGCCATTCATGCTACATATAAAAGTCCAGTTCAAACAAACATTCGAGAGGCAGTTCTACAAATCACACTTCTTCAGGTCACTTTGTCATTGTTGATGCCTTGTGATCTTTTGGGACAACATGGATCGAAGCAAGTAGCGTAACTATACACATAACAGCAGGACCTGTTATCTGTACTTAACCAGGTTGCACCTGTGAGGAAAGAACAGTTCTTTAAAGACGTATATTTCCTGTTTTAGGCTTCTCTAAACAACCAAGAAAGAAAATACTGGACATGTATTTAGGAAGCTCATCGTCTACATCACCTCGAGACCAAACGGTAATGCTGCCAACACCTGGACCAGTGGAGTCCAAGAAATCTACTGTGGCTTTGATGTCGTCAATATCATGAAATATTTTGGGGGGGGGGGGGTCTTGCAGGATGAGCTTCCAGAGGGAGCAAAGTGGGCGATTGAAGATGAAAGTGGAGAATTGCTGGAACTCTGCCTGCTTGACAAGGAAGCAGACACAAAGAAAGAATTGTCTTTGGATATGTCGACAAAGGATGGGAAACGCTTCACAGTAAACCTAAAAACCAGAGAAGCAACAGAGTGTTTGACAGGCAAATCGTACAAAATGAAAAACATGGCAACCGAGTCTGGTATGCTGCATGTTATAGTTATTTATGTTCCCATTACTCAATATCTAACTGAACAAAACAGCATTTAAAATCTCTAAATTATTTGATTAGACGGTGTGTCTTCTCCTTTGTCGCTGGAGTTACCGCCACACTGGGAACCTATGATTGGGCAGCACTTTAAAAAGGTAGAGTTAGACCCTAAATCGCCTGAGTATCAGGAAGTGGCCAACAATTTCCATAAAACTACTTCCTACAACATTCACAAGGTAAGTTTGCTTACACAGAAACATCATCAAATTATCCCAGCAAAAACAAAATGTGACTAATTCTTTGGAACGCAGATTGAGCGAGTGCAGAACGTCTACCTGTGGCACGCCTTCAGCATCTGCCGGCGCCGTATACTTTCCAAGAACGGCGAAGCAGACCTGGGTGAAAGGTTTCTCTACCACGGCACATCTGCAAAATCATGCAAAACCATCGAAAGAGACCGATTCGACAGGAATTACGCAGGACAGCATGGTAAGCCTTGATTAAAAAAAAAAAAAAAACGTTCCTAGAATATAACGACTAATGCAAAACGACAAACACAATAAATCCAAAAATGTTCATCATTGCGTTAAGTGGATTTGTTTTCATGTGACTTTCTTACAGCTGCAGCATACGGAAAGGGGGTGTACTTCGCTGTCCATGCAAATTACTCAGCTACCAGCTTTTCCTTAGCAGACGAGTCGGGCCTAAAGCGACTGTACTATGCGCGTGTTATTACTGGCCGCTACACAGTTGGTAATTCCACCATGAAAGCCCCCCCTCCTCGAGGTGCAGACCCTACCGACTGCTTCGACAGCTTGGTAAACCATCAGGTGCAGCCTGTCATCTTTGTTATCTTCCACGACGACCAGGCCTACCCAGAATACCTCATCACCTTCAGCTGAGCAAAACCAAGGACACTCGGAAACGTTCACACCTTGCAATTCACAATCACTGGATACTCATTGTGATATTCCTCTTCTCTGTGCCTGCGATTTGATTTTAAAATCCCACAATTTGGGCTTCTCCACCTCTACCTCTCATGCACTGTTCACCAAACATTTTACCAACCGGATCTGGATGATTGACTATTGCATGGGAGAGAGGAAAAAAAAAAGCAATTCTTTGACAAGATACTCACTTTTTGTCAGGCACAACCGATCACTTTTTCTACTGATGGCCAAATTTTGCTGTCGGTATAGTGCTACTTCTAAAACCAGTGGAGCGTGACATCCAAAAATGTACAATAAGTTACAAAAAGTTATGTGAACAGATTTTATCCTGCCTGTGTTTTGAAATCTTGTTTTACAGATTTGCAGCAAACTAGACAAGTTTCAACTTGCTGTATCTGTTAAGTGCTTTACTGACTATTACAAAGAAAAGGGGGCTTTCCAAAGCTCTCTGAGGTTTTCTTGGTTACTGGATTACTTTATTATTATTATTATTATTATTATTATTATTATTATTATTATTATTATTATTATTATTATTTCTGTGTCACTTAGTCCTGACTAATGAATTTCGATTCGCCAGTCATGACCGCAATGATGCTCACTGGAATATTCAAAAATTTACAAAACCTCCCTTTGTCTTCAATGTAGTTAGTATTGTTTTTTGGTGGTTTTAAGATTCTAAAGGTCTAAAGAGAAATGTTTAAGGTAATCACTTTCAGCTAAGTTAGTTGATTTTAATTTGACTGTTACAAGGAGGATTGCTTTCTAGATCAGAGCAATCCTCCACATCTTGTCAGTTGTTAGACACTTTTCCCCATTATCCTTCCACTGCAGTACACATAATCTCTTTTTAATTGGTTTGGCCTAGTTTTTCAGACCTGATTGTGTCGTGTGGTTGGATTGTGACCCCCAGCTCGAATGGGAAGTGGCGTTGCCAGAAAGGAGAGACGTCACACCCAGGATTGTTTGTTTCTATTAACAGCCAATTAGTTAATAAACCATTTAGCTTATTAACTAAGAGTTTGACAGAAAGATCATACAACCATGAATGGACTGCTTTATTTTAACACTTTTGTGTTTGAAATATATGGACTCAGCTTATTGGCTTTGTCTGGGCTGCTTATGATAGTCTTACATTACTGGTGATTTATTACTGTACTTTTTACTATGTTTTACAAAGCTATTGTGGTCAATAATTTTTTTTTTTATTATTATTTTATTTTTTGTACCAGACACAGAAGCGGTTTAAAGTATTCGTGAAATTTTTCAAATGTGAAAATACAAATGTCTAAATTCAACATTTTATTTAGAGCACGTTTTGCTGAACAGATCATGTAAAGTGATGTACGTTAGTGGATTCAGAGGGCTGAAAACGCCCTTCCAATGTGTAACACACACTGAGCACATATTGGTCAGACGTTTGTCTATAGGACAAAAAAATAAAAAATATTTACAAACTAGGATTTTTTTTTTCTAATCGATGCATGGATAAACACAGTGCATTTCTTCATACCACTGGCAAATTTAGGATGGGGTTGATTTTTTTATTTCTTCATTTATTCACTTATTTTACCTTGACTTTCCATAACTTTATTCCTGTTGCAGTAATGGGGGGAAAACACCAAACTTCTCATACATTAAAATCTCAAATGATGTCATCATCTCTTTATGTAAAATAAAATGGGGAAGGTTGCATCTTATCTTCGCATCTATTTGAGGTTGCGGCGCGGCGCTCATAAATCGCAGAACCTTGTCAGGCAGCGTGCTGACGTCAGCTCACCTCAACAACAGGAAGCGCGTGTCGCTGACATCCGAACAGCCTGAGCCGTAGCCGCGTTCAGGTGCGGCTGGGAATAAACTTCCCGAGTTTATCCGCCCGTCTCATTCAATTGTCGCTCACCATGGACGCTGCGTACAAGTTCCCCGTCTTCTTCGACTGCCACCGTTTGAACGACGAGCAAAAGAAGAAGATGGAGAACCATCCCGGCGCAAGTCGGGCGGCGGAGAGAGCGGCGCGTTGACTGAAGTCGGCGGAAAAGTTTACAGCATCGCTTTTAAAGACCAACAAGGTGAGACAGCGGGCTCGTTGGGCGTCCAGTTCAGCTGTCTTTACTGAGAATGAGTCGAAAGCGAAAGGAAAGTTTAACACGACATTTTGCAGCGTGCATACAAATTATATATAGGCTATCTATATTTTATTAGTTTAGGAAGGTGTTTTAGGAGACATAAAGAATGTTTTGTTAATATGTTATTTGTTTTTTTTCTGCTAGCCCACGTATGTCCCTTTCTGTTTTTAGACATATCACATTTCATACTTTCACTTTTACATTTGAGTGTTCAGCAGTCAAATGCAGTGGTTTGTCCCTGTTACATAATTTAACTTTAAAATAGCTGGAATAATGGGGAGTGTGTTTTAGTTAGCATGATGGCTACAATATTGTTAAAACTCCTACAAGACCTACACACTGAAAATATACATATCATTATTTAGTGGGTTGACCAAATCAGTTAACAAACATTGATATTCTGTCAAATCATGGGTAGAAAATTAGATTAAAAAAAAAAAACCTTTAAGGCAACTTTATTATATAAATGCTGTTAACAAAAAATGTTTGAGGTTTTTCTCAGACTCAATATTTGGAGAAAAAACATGTTTTTATGTCCTACACCTTAAATCCAATTGGCCAAAATGAATAAATCGGTAACCATGGACTCCTATGTGTCTGGAATAAAAATATGATCAATTGATTCATTGATTTTTTTTGTGTGTGCTGTCTTAATTATACAACTTTTTATTTTAAATAAGTGAATGTGTTAAATAGATGTTCCAAGTTAAGGTTACAACATTTCCGGCACCACATGTGACAGTCAAATGAAAGTGGTGAGTTGGAGCCAATTTATCAGAAACACTCTGAAGTCTTTCACAACAATGAAAGTAGAGTGCCACACCTTTTCCATAATTTTGTTTACTCACGTGGTTTCGATAATACTTCTCAAATGCGTGTTACCGCAACAAACATATATTTGATAAAAATCTATTAAAGAGATACTCATGCTTTTGGGATATTTGTTTTCATTTCTCCACCCTGTAGCTCAACAAAGAGTCCTGCAGAAATCTAAGCATGTTGTGGATTTAGCTGGCGTTACCGTAGAGCTGATTGTGCGAGACAATCCAGGACCCGCCGTCTCCTCTGGTGACACCTCGCCGTCTTCAGACGGTTCAGGTTCAGCCAACCCGAACCTGAATGTATCGAGCACATCTCCGGTAAGTCTTTGAAAATCGAAGAAAAGTAAAATAAAGTTGGAAAGTTTTCTGTTTTTCTTCATAGTTTTATGACAGATTGTTTCATTGCAAAATTTGCTTCTCGCTCCATTTCTTAAAAGTCAGAGTGCATTTTGGTGGAGGAAAACATGTACATGACCACAAGCATTTTCCCATATGGATACCACTGAAATCAGTTCACCATTTCAAAGATTATTTGTGCCTGCAGCCAGCAGAAACAATTTTAAGAGTTGAGATATTGTGGTGTAACTTGACTTCTCTTAATCCTTCATCCCATGTCTAAAGATTGAACTCAAAGTTTGTTTCCTAAGCTGCTCACACAGGCCAGGAAGTAAAGACTGGGTGTAGCCCAGGAGGCAGTAGAGCACACATTGTGCTGAACTGGATTCCTGCCGAGACTGAGGGTTTTTCCTCCTCAGCTTTGCTTGTAGAGAAATTTGCAGGTCTTTGTAACTCCAAAATGCATTTGAATTATACTCTGAGCTGTCTAATTTGAAAATTAAAACCTAATTAAAAAATGTAGCTAAAATCTTGAAAGAAAAAAAATGTCACCAAAATCCATAAATTTTTTTTTAAAATAATCATGTTGTTGAACCTTAAATTTTTGTCATTTCTCATAAAAACTCAGTCGCTTCTCTATGAGCCACTTTAGAAATGCTGTAATTGAACAGAATTAAACGTTTGGCAGGAAATGTAAACCTTGTCTTGATTTAAACCTCTGTGAAAGCAAAATATACATGAAAGACTGATCCTGGTACAGTATAGGAAATCATTACTGTTATTGACATATTTTTTTAAAATTATTTTTATTTTATTTTGTATGTCAGTAGATATTGCAGATATTCCTATTGAAGCGTTTTCTGGATTGTCCCCGACATGATCCGGAAATGTCAGAGTTACAGAATAAGCTCCAATGTTTGAGTCTCGGGATATTTTACAGTACTGAAAAGTAGCTTCTAGAAGAATCTGTAATGCGCTGGAAAGCTAACCTGATGCATGTTTTTTTTTTTTTTTCTGGCAACAAACACAGCTGTCCGGTATTCCTCCAAACTGGCACCAAGTACTGAAGAACATGAGGTAAAGCTCGACTCGTATCTTCTCCGCTACCTGATGGAATCTCCAAAAGTCAAAGGAGATCTAGACAGTCAGCTGGCCTTACTTTCCTGCACCGCTGAGCTCCAACCACAGGAGGAGAGTTTTAGTCAGGCGAGTTGCTCAGCCAGGTGCCGTAGCTGAACCTAACGACTGGAAATCTGAGGTGACCCAACTGTTTGATGGCTACGCGTGCCACTATGAGATGAACGCCCCCACAAAGTCAAAGCTTTGCTGCAGTCCTACAGCTCTCGCCAGCCTGCAGATGAGGTGAAGGTGTACAGTGACATTGGAATGACTGTGGTTGTGGGAGAACGAAGCCAAGTGGAAGCAAAGTTAAGAGATTTAGAGTCTCTCCATCAAAAATAAAGGATCTCGTCCAAGTGACATACAAACCACTGTTCGTCGAATCGGTGAGGCGAAACTGCGTCTCTTGTGGAAGGAGATTGAAAGCAGTCTAGGGCAAGACTTTCCAGCATTGAAGGTCACACAGCATGATGAAAAAATATCTCTAATGGGGTCTGTGGAAGAATTCTCAAGGCCGGTGAGGTAATTAGTGAAAGGAGAAACTAGTGTTAGAGAAGACGATTACTGACAAAAGCCTACAATTTTTGGCATTCTTAAAAAACGTCTATGGTGGCCCTGGGATGCTTTGCGAGTTTTTGGGAGTGGCTAAGACGGTCGAAGCAGAAATACGAGACACATCGATACACTTCTTCTCTTTCAGTGCTGACGATTTAGACGAGTCTGTGAAAATGTTCCAAGAAAACTTTATGGAGGTTACGTATGATATTCCTAACTACCCTGTTTTGCCGTCAGAGCTTTGTGAAGCGCTTAAATCCAAGGCAAACGAGATTAACCAAACGCAGTGCAGAGCTAAAGTTGGGTTTGGTGCAGGTGGCACTGTGTGTTTGTCGGGCCACTCAGCAGAGGTTGACGAGCTGAGTGAAATTGTATCTCAGTTTATCTTGGACCAAGTAAGCGTTGAGGGAAAAGTCATTCTCCCCTTCCCAGAATTACGCCCTCTTTTAACCGAATTTCTGCAGAGACTGAGATTTGACTTTTCAGGTGTTGCCTTCACTCCTGTTGCATCATCTTCTAGCCCCATGGTGTTGCTTGTAGGTCCATCCATCAAAGTGACAGAGGTGAGGAATAGACTGGGTCCAATTCTTCAATCTGTTGTGCAGAACAAAGTGACCATTGACCTGCCAGGGGCAGCAAGATATTTTAGTGGTCACTCTGGCAGAGATATGCTCTTGAAGGTTGCAGAATCTCAGAAGTGTCTCATACAGCTCGAGGAACAGCCTCACTTGAGTAGACAGATGACTCGTCTTGCTAAATACAATCTTCAGCATGGGCTGCAGGTGATGGTTTATCAGGGTGACATCACAAAACAGAATGCAGATGGCATTGTAAATGCTGCCAATGAAAGTCTAAACCACATCAGTGGTGTTGCTGCTGCTCTGAGTAAAGCAGGTGGTCCTGAGGTGCAGAAAGAAAGCAAAGCTCTTGTGAAAGGGACTGGAAAGGTTGCTGTCGGTGAGGTAGTGGTAACTACAGGGGGCAACCTGAAATGCAAGAGCCTCCTCCATGCTGTTGGACCTGAAAGTGGAAAAGCTAGTGGCAGGGAGAGGAGCTTACTGGAGAAAACTGTTAGCAACGCTCTGAAATTAGCTGAACTGATGGAGTTCAAGTCTATAGCTTTGCCGTGCATCAGCTCAGGCATTTATGGCGTTCCCATCAAAGTTTGCTCTGAGGCCATCGTAACGGCCATCAAGGAGTTTGGTAGTCAGGACGGGCGAAGTCTTAGCAAAATCATTCTGATCGATAAAAGGGAAGAGGTGGTGAGGGCCATGCAGGAAGCATGTGACCGCCTTCTGCCAGGGAAAGATCTTGGATTCAAGACGGACATAGCTGACCAAGAAGGCGCAACCGGCACCACCACTGAAGCTCCTCTACAAGTTGAGATTGTTAAAGGAGCAATTGAGAATCAGCAGGTAAGAAGTTTTGCATCTAAGTCAAGCTGAATAAAAAAGGATTTTCATATGATTATGTTAAACTACTGATCATTAACTAGGCATGAAA